CTAAAGATCCTCGCCTTCGGCTCGGATCTTTATCACCCGATACAACACGCTCTCTCGTTCTGTATACATTACTTAATCACCATCTCACTCGTCCGTTGTTGTGTCTCCCATTAAAAACTCAAATTCCTATTTCTTAGGGCTATTCTTGCATTAGCTCATTAAAATCATCACAATACCTTAGCTCAAAATCCGAAATCTTCAAAACGCATACTGAGTGTAAGTCGATTTTACCAATGCCATTTTTAACCAGAGCTCGTCAGTCAGGAGCAGTGGTTTCTAATATTGAGCAGTTGACTGTGCCTATCGAAAACATGTAAAAGCGTTSAAAGAAACSGACAAAATGAGTAAATACCTCTTACAGTTCCTGTTCTAGAAAACCAAAAAAAAATTTTCTTACTTTAGAATACAWTTAAACAGATTCAGACCCAGATGTTTCATTTTCCATGGAATTTATTCCAGTTTAACTTGATTATTTTCTTGTAGGAAAAAGCGTGAAAGGCAAAGAGTGCGCAAAGCAGCCCGAGTAACGTTTAATGATAAACCACAGTTGTAAGTACATCCTTTCAGCAATATTTAATCGATATCTAAACGTGGTTTGATTAACTAATGTTGTGTCATTAACACACCCTTTGCATGCGCTGTAATGTGGCTTTGGATCGTTTTGGAGGGGAAGTTTTGAGGCTTGTCATTCCTTTTAGGGGAGAAAATCAATAATCTGAAAAGGGGTCTTGGAGCCTACTGGAAAATCATGATATTAGATAGGATCTTTTAGATTATTATTAGATTTTCCCTTATTTYTCTGGCATCCAATCATTTCTGCCATAGCCATTTCCCTCAATTTTCAACAAGGAATCCTGCGCGTGTTCACCAAGATTTGTTGGAAACTGCTCTGTGCGGCAAACTTGACATTAAGCATTGGACAAGTGTTTTTGCATGTTTACAATTCAACTGGTTAATAGACTGGGACGACAGCTATTATCGTGTGGCATGATAACATAAAACACTGTCCTTAGAGCTTGACACCATGTAAAAAACCTCACCATATCCACCAGTTCAACAATGTTAGTCGTTCTTTTCCGGTATCAAAAGCATCAATATTGAAATTGAATTCGGATTTCTAAAAGGGTCTTAAGTGATKGATCCCCAAAACAATTATTTACTACGAAATATAATCTTAACTCTAATTTACGTTGTGGATTTCTTTGAAATATAGCAATTTTTTAAAAAAAAGCTTGTTAAGAAAGAAATTTGACAATGCTCAACCGAAAGTACTGTGATATAGCCTGTCTTTAACGGATAAAATAATTGCAATATTATTCTAACAAAGGCAGCATATAGGCTTTTTTTATTGCAAGAAAGATTTGTGCTCAGGAGATATGTGTCAATGTTAGCCATCAAAGATGAATAACCGAGATTCATTTCGGTCGCGTATATCCACCCTTCTTTCTAGATGCCAAAATTTAAATATCAAATTAAAAATACTTTAAATTACATTTAATAGAAAAAGATAAAGCTTATCATTTATTACTAAATGAAAATCATGTTTAACTTCAAGGTTTCGTTCAAAACTTAACATAAATTTAACTCGCTTAAGTAGTAATAAGCTGTGTAATAGAATTATAGCGCATTGTTTTTGGAAATTGTGGAAAAACCCACCGTACTATGTAGTTATTGTACATGTGCGATAAGAATTTTGAAACTCTTTATACTGGTATGTACAAGGTAAGTATTGTAAGTGCTTACAATACCTCAAAATCCCTCAATGTTATCGTTCGAAGTATGTGAGTTTCCATTGACTTACCGTTCTTGYATAGATGGAAAGTAAATAACGCATTTCATTCTACTAATCTATCTCTTTCGGTGCCGTTAGCAAGTATCTCCGTGGACGTTTGTCAACCCGAGTACAGCCGGATAACGTTAGTATATTGCTCCATTGTTTTAGTCCTGGCAAGGGCAAAGCCTAGTATAAGCTTTGAAAGGCTATAAAAATTGCTCAAAATAATGGTTTAAAAAGTCTAAAATACAACTAAAGAGATGAGTTTCAATTGCTTTTTTGTTGCATAGGACCTCAATTGACTGACCAACATTTATTTATCGTCCACTTCTAAATGTGCTTAGATCGACCACCAAGGAGGTCATGATGCACCGCAAAAATGCTAATTGAAGTCTCGCCATAAAAAAATAAACATTTCAAATGTAAAATTGGATAAAAAAGATAAAGATGAATACAAGTCTTTTAATCTGTATAAATGTTTATACTAATAACTTAACTCTCAAGTAAAACTATCTACCGATTTTGGCAAAAATGCTCATTAACCTTTATGTAACCTAAGCCGTATCTACCACCTTATAAATAGATAACCACGTCTTACGTTATAAAACACTTTGATACCCAATAGTACCATAAGTAAAACTGTTCACCACTAGAACCATGGTTACTGCATGGACACGCCACTCCACATATATATGGTTATTCTAGAAAAAGATTGTCCAGTTGTCAAAGAGACATCATTCAGGATTTATTTTGAATTACTCTCCTTTGCTGTCTACCCTTATGTCCTGCTATTTCGTTTGGAAGGTACAGGAAACTCGACAAAATGGTAGGCTGCAAAGGAAACTAGCTTTGAATAAAAGACATTATTTCTTGCTACTTTTAATTTTAAAACTGAAATCATGCCGTTCGTTAAGATTTTGAAATTATATTGCTCTAAATTTCTTTTAAATATACTGACTCATCGTAAGAAGTTTGCACTCCCGCCATTCTATTGAACAGTCGGTGTTCGTTAGACTTAAAAGCAGTGCGGTGAACTTCTGATTTTTGTTTAACGAGCGAAGCAAGTAGTGCTAGCCGGCGGTAAGCGTCCGACCTGCTGGGGCAGCCATATTTGCGGAAGTTGCGGGAGTGACTTGGACATGTAGCGTTCATTGAGACAACCTTCTCTTTCACTGGACAATTTTATTGTTATGGGAATAACGTGATCTTTGTGTATCTCGTGGATAAATTGTTGTTGTTTAACATCACTTTGCACCAAACACTATAGTCAACGCTGCAAAAAAAAACATAGTGCTCTTTGGAAACTTACAAATATATAGTGAATTCTCGTTATTGTTGTGTTTTTCAGCATTGACCCCGTCGGGAAATCGACATCCAGAAAGATAGAGAATGCCCAGGTAAGTTCACTTCCAAGCTCATTCGCTTTATGAGAGTACAGTGGAGTGTTACTTTAAGTAAAGCAAAAATGTGTGTCCATAAAACCAAACCATTTCATCAATTAATTCAATGCGCCCCATTCCAGTTATAAATACATCAATGCATTCAAATCTCCATCCATAAATTACAAACCTTGCAATGTAATACATTTATTCTATAAATACATCACTTACGTGCATCCAGGAACCTTTGCGAACGGTCCAAAATGAAACTTGGCAATTTTTTCATGTGTAAGAAAATCGGCATATGTTTTTGCACCTGGGCTTTTAACTCATCTCTGAATCCATCAGACAAAGATTTCTCTATCAAGTTATTTTATCCTATTTTCTCGATGTCAATTCTTTCCAAAGTTTCTGAAAATTGTTTTTATCCATCTATCCAACCATCCCATCCACACATTTGTCCAACTCTATCTAAAATCAAGAAATAAATGCAATGTCCATACTTAAAAGTAATTATTGCACTAAAAATGTATTAATCCAAAAGCTCTTTTTATTTTTCATCATTAACAGAATGGGAAGACTAAAGATGTTACGAACTTAAAGAATGAGGATCAAAATGACAATCATATAAAACTACATAACTTTAATAACGATGGGTTTGTGACATAAAAGATCCACTTAAATATCTATTTTATACCAGCAATCGTGATAAAAGTGCTTTAAAACTTACAGTGATTAATAAGCTTTGCCATTCAATCGGTCTAATAAATCACTACTATCAACATGTATYATTGAGAATCTTGGTCTTTTAGTGTGTCAAAAGTGATAATTTATAAACAAAAACAGGTTCACATGTAGTATGAAGGTGATTTGATGATGGCAAAGTTTATGATCACAGTTGTAGACATTTTCTTCAAAGTGAAATCTTTTATTATCCAATGACTTTCGCTTGTTTGCATGCAAATCTGTTTTTAATTGTGCACACATCTCAAGCGCAAAGCATACCCTATACCACGCGGATTTCATTTCTCATAAAAATGTAAAATGTATATCACTATATTTAATATATTAGAGATATTTTGTTATAAAACTATGAAAATAAACAAATATTGAATAATGTAAAGTGAGAGTGAGCTTTGGATGCTAAAATCTCAATTTTTAAAGTAGAATTTATAAAAATTAAACAATTAAAATAAAACATCAATAGATTTTGTGTGATACTTCAATTGGTCGTTTTAGTAGTAATAAAATATTGCARTGTTAATCTCAACACATTGTCTGTGAAAACTGGGAGATTGCACTGTGTCCTTTGCCAATGCACTCAACTCTCTCAGTGCCATCAGCCATTGCCACCCAGACGACTACACATGCGAATATAGACGTGTGCAATGGTATTTAGATTTGCCAAAAGTATGAGATGACKTGCCCAAAGTGCCCCTCTCCCCTCACGCTAGTGCGATCAACTACCCTTAGTTCCTCCAAGAACGATAGGATTGGTTGTTAATAAAATGGAGTCTCTTAACTTCCATACTTTTATTGTGACCCACGAAGTATAGATTTAAGTGTTTTGTGAGATAGCCCACCTATTCATGACATTTTTTGTTTGACAAAGAAAAAGCTGTCGACAACCAATTCCATTGTCCACTGGAAAAAAGCGCGCACATTAAAGGTTGTCAATTTGATGTAAATATGATGTAAGTGTCCAAAATGAGATACATTTGATGTAGACGAAAAAAAATAAACCTATAGAGTGCGCTATTTTTCCAGTGATCTACGGGGCTAGTTTCTTATGCCAAATATGGTTCAATGTCTATGTGAAATAAAGCACACCTGATAATACGCGCTGATGACATCTGATTTTAACACATCTAATCGGACATCAATTACCTTCCTGGATGAAACGGTCAACTTTGTTATATGGATAACATATTTGCTTTACAATTTCAGTAGTTACTGTATATTTTTCGTTGGTTATACTAGTTCTCTTTGAATGGTTGTATGATTCAAATTTAATCACTAATTTTAACTTGTTTTGAGAAAATTCGGCATTGTACTCCATTTTACAGCTTCCAAGGCGCCATCTTCAGAAGTTAGCCGATCCTTTGCACCAGTTAGACAGGAAATAAGATTAAAATGATAGAAAACTGTGAATAATTGCCAACAATTGTTATTGTTATTGTTAACAAAATGTATCTATCACTGCTTGTTTAACTCCTCTATAAACTCGACACAAACGCTTGGCTACATTTCAAGATGTCACAAGGAACTGTTAAATGGGGTAGATTAAACCATTTAAACAAACTGTACTGTTTTTCAAAAATATTTTCTTTGTCGACAGTTTTATTCATTTCCATTGTTACTATTATACCACAGGAAGCCCAAGAGGTCATTGTTCACATGGATGACGAAAGCTCATCAGAAGTCTCTGATGAAATAGATAACTCAGAACTCAAATACTACAATGACGGATATGATGACAACAACGATGACGAAGAAAGATCAGAAAATTTCTACATGGATGGCGATAATGTCAACTTTAGTACTTTCCTACCTCCTCCCCCGATGCATCCACCTCCAGCTGTGCCAAAGTCTGACGAAAGTGATTCCAGCCACGAATCACAAGAAGAATCCATGTCAACAGATAACGAAGACGAGGGAAGTGACAAAGGAGAATACATGCAGACTGTCTTACCACCTCACCAAGATTTTGCTGACCCGACCAATGATTATGAAGAGTTGCACCATTACAACGAGTCGCCAACTCAATCGGTGACTGACAGCACAACGAATCTGGTCGATCCGTCATCTTATAAAAGCAGTCTTCTTCACGATCCTTTGTTCGGATTTGAGGGAGGAATGAGGGCAAGTATTAACAAAGACCTCACTACCGAACTCTAACTGATTCACAGCGAGACAGGCTTTTGGTCTTGTTAGTTTAGCTTGTCGTCCAATTGAAACTCGTTTCCAGTATTTAAGGATCTTATCTACCAAGTAGATGTCTCTAAAAAGTATTCGAGATGTTAAGATACACTGTTTCGACCTATAGAGGTTCAACTAGGCGAGCATTCCATGGCTTCCCATAAGTCTTTGGTATGCATGAAAAGTATATTTTCTGTATTAACGTGTTCTGGTGTTAGCCATGCTCGTACAAAAATACGGTGTATCGTAATTCCTCTAATTTCGCATTTCACGCCAGCCCGGATCAAGTTCACGAAAAACCTTACGGACCAATTTTAGGGCCTCGCCGAAATTCGGGATTTAAATTCATTGATATTTTTCACGACATAAAATGAAGAACAGACCACTCAGACAATGTAGTTTGTAGCAAACAGAAACTTCTACTGTTCTCTGCAGTCCTTGTATTGATTTGATGGCTCAGATGAAATCACCGTATAGATTACAGTCATGCACGTGATTTTATTGAAAATCGTAGCTGTTTGTTTACAGGAAATGTTTGTCTACAGGAAATGTTTCACCCCATTTCGACATTAGTGGCGGCCAATAAAGTTTTGTAACAAATGTAACCACAATCTTGAATACGTTTGTTAAATAGCCAAAAAAGTTTGATGTTTTGATGCAATAACAATATATACATAATATTTTGCACCGAATTACGATTTTATTTCGAAGTTTGTTCTTTTCAGCCTTATGCATACCATAGTCTGATAATGTGGCAGTCGTATGACTCAAAAAATGTATTGTATAGTGTAGCTTTTATAAACTAAGATATTCGCACGTATCACTGTGTCAGAGGAGAAAATATTTTTAAAACGTACGTCAATTTTTGAAATAAACTTCATCAAATTTGACTTGGCTTGCAGATTTTTTGTATTATTCTTATATAATAAGCTTTACTATTGAATAGACCATAGGAAAATGAGAGCGGCTATCGTAATGCCATATATTATGAGTTGAAGAAGACATTATAATGAGTAAGATCTGAAAGCTTCATTGCTCATACATTTAATTACAAGTGTTTGAAATTGGAAACGTTTGAGTGAAAATCAGTATTAAGCTTTACAGCCTCGTTTTCACGTTTCAAATGCTCGTAGCTCTGCCGATATTCAACATTAAAAAATAAAACTCCTCCAGTTTAATAGTTAATAGATATACTGTTTCTAATAGTGTGTACACATATTAAAAAAAATCTGGATCGTTTGAGGAGCTCATTCCCAGTCTTCTGCTAGTTTTTTATATTAAGGTCAGAACTGGTGGATATTACAATACTCACTCTACAGTGTCGACGTAAAATGTTTTCCAACTGGTACACTATGATTGCCTGGTTGTCCCATCCCACAACATGGTATCCCAAAATCCTCTTCACCAACTTCGGTCTGTTAGATAGTTTGCATGGTACTTCGGCGAATGCACATATATATATTTTGACGATATGTCGGACATTATAATGTAATAGATGGTAAGTATCTAGAGCTTCTTTTTCTTTAACCCTTTCACCGCCATTGTCGACATTTGTCGACGTCGACGTATGCCTCTCTTTAAAAAAATATTATTCTATTAATTGCATAGCAAATGAACTAATTATGTTTTGGTTGGGTTGTCCGTGAAATTATACAGCTGCTAATTCATAAAGTAAGCACCATAGGGTTTCTTTGTGGTGAATGTGGTCCCTTAATTGAGGGCGAAATCTGCCTGCACGCTTTTCGACGTTAGACAAGAACACTAGAAAAAGGCTAAATATATTTTCAATTTTACTGCAAAAAATCCCTCAATCATGCCAAAATACAACATTTAAAAGAAAGTTCAGCCCTTCTACTTTGCATTGATGTGTCTTTTGTAACCAGTTTCATTGAACAAGCCGAGAAAGAGCTCTCTCTTTAGGGTTCATTCCATGAGACAAGTGTTTCCTTGWACTTCGCTTGCAAAGAATTCTGGGTAACGGTGAATTTTTTGGACAGAAAGTACCCCACACCTTCCATTTTAAAATTTTCTTTAAGTGTCGAGTCATTCGCTCCTACCAGGAAAATTTCAAGTAGATTCCTCTTTTTAGAAGCCAAAACATGCAAAAATATACACGGTAGGTTGCGAAGTCAAGCACAAGACAGCCAGGGAGACGACTTCACTTAAATGGCGCCATTTTACAAAAATCAACGGTTGCTCGCCATTTTCTTCGTAAAATCGCTTCCCACTTCTGATTTCTTCCAGAAGATCGCTTCTGCCACAATAGTCAAGCTTTATGATGCAAGTCTAGGGGCTCTTGTGCGAGAACTTGACTTCAAAAACACCTAAAAACCGATTTTTCCTGTGTTTTGAACGAGCTGATTGCTAGTCAAAGCCACGAGCAAAAATCTTACAGGCATCCCTTGCAAAAGTAAGCCTTCAGTTATCACGAACAGCAGCTGTTTCCTTGACAACCTTAAGATTAGTCCCGAAATCATTTTTAAATCATTCTGCCTTAAAAACAGTCAAATTTAACCACAATTATTCGGCGGTAAAAGGGTTAACCAAAAAAGGAATTGTCACGTGACCTACATTCTTGACCCCTTATAGTGAGGTTTAGGGTTAGGGTTGACATTTGGTTAGGGTTAGAGCTGCTGCCCTAGGGTTAGGGTTAGGATTTAGGCTAGGGTAAGGGTTAGCTTAAAGTCAGGGTTGGGGCAAGGGTTAGGGTTTTTGGCTAGGNTCATCAAACCCAAACTTGCGACCCTAGCTGAACTCTGTACTGATATATGTCTAAGTTCAACTAACTCTAGATCTTTGACCATGTTTAAACATTAAGATCACGACCCCCCATACTTCCGATTTCGTGCGTTTTGCTATACAAGCTGGAAACGTTGATTTTCGAAAGTATCACATATCTCTGAACTGTGTGATTGTCTTTTTCCCAAACGTTAGCAATATGATGACACTCGTCAAAATTAGCTTTCTTCATCAGATTTGAATTGAAATAGCTATTGCATTATGAATTTTTTTTTTTATTAATGGCGCTGAATATTACCCCAAATATATATATAAATCTGACATTTTTTTGAACAAGGATCCTAAATCTCAGTACATTATGGGACGTCTACCGTAGAAGGCAAAAATGTTGGATTAGAAAAAACGTTTCCTGTATTTGTTAATGATTTAATTGACATCTTGCTAGTTTTTTTGGGAATATTAGTTTGTGATGAATTGACTGTTAATTAAGGCCAAAATTCACATCTTTTTGTAAGTACCTCGTACTAATATGGCCGCCGTATCATCGAAGTGGCATCAAGAAGACAACGGTCTAATTTCTTTTGCTTTGATCCCCAAGGACAAACTAGAAACCAGCCAATTCAACTGGGTCAAACTGCTTTATGACTGATTAGCTAGTCATGTTGCGAATTGAGTTTCAAGTTAATAATTAATCCCATCCATCTTTGAGCGCCTTCATTGCAAAACAAATTCAAAATGACGGACATCAGTGGGCCAAGCTGGGCAAAACGTGCGCCCGCGTGGGTATACGGGATTAATTTTTTAGCTTAAATAGGAAATCATGCTGTGCGCGCATTCCGATATCACCTGGTAATTAGGCTCTAATAATCTTTTTTAAAGGACAACATATCATGCCATCATCGATCCCGGTGCAGTTCTCTACCAACTGAGCTATGAAGCCAACTATGTTTTCCAGCGGTCATTTCATTTCTTTAACCGATACACAGTTAATAACAGATGGTGGTTAATAACAGAATGCACAACTATAGCAGAGAATAAATAGATTAATGGTACTGTAAATTCACGTCCAATTCAAATCTCAATTTTTAAAATCCAACTACAAAACACACATCAAAATGTTGCCCAACAAAAGCTCGACGGCTGACCGATTCCGCGGTAWTATTACTGGTGACCACATTACAAAACAATTTCTCTTACCATTCGTAACTCATAATAAGGGACCATTTCCTTATCTTAGAACTACGCATAAGGTCAATCGGTGTGTATTTCCTCTTTTCTTCGTGTAACTCGGATCTGACAAAGTRAAGAAGCGCTCTCAAATTCTCCACATCAACAGATCCTCCATCTTTGGCTCCATAGTTTTGTATTGCATCATCAACAGCTTTATCAACTTGATCGTGASCTACAAGCCACTGTGGTGAATCAGGTAGCCATCAGCTTTGTTTTGGGGGCTTAAGACTGAAAAAGATGATTGATTACAAATTGAACAAGTATTGCAAGATAAAGTCGAGATTAGGCCATACGCTACTGTATTGATTTGGATTCAAACCGAACAAACCGTTTGGACTAATCGAAAATGTATGTGTTATCCTACCAAAAAAAGTCTCATATTTCTAAGACTTTGCTGACCTGTCTTAACCAGTTCAACGGTTGTAAATAGATAAATTTAAGTAAAAACGTAGGTGAATTAATAAACAGCACCAGCAGAAAAGTGATAAGAATTATGCATTCCCACCATAATATATAGCTTTACAARGAAACCAGCAGTTCTTTCGAGCCTAGGCGTCTGWTATCATTCCAGCAAAAAAAGAACCAATAAGCATACCTCCAAATAATGATGACTGGAAAGTAGCTCCCAGGTACGCTCGTTCGCAAATAAGATTCCAATGAACGGTACAAAGATAGGCCAATTTAACTATCAAGATATCACTTTATTATACTTACCCTAAAATTTCTATCTTCTTTTTATGAAAAAGCATACAAAAAAAAACACAAAAAACAACAACAGAAACAGCAAAAAGACCTTTCAACTAACTCTCTAACTGGCAAGTGTCAAGCTCATCGGGCCATGTTCTAAGACTTCTATTAAAAGGGCTGCCTATAAAATCCGGCAAAAGCCAACGGCAGGCTCGGATACAGGAGTTGGAATCGATGGATCTCCATCTCACAGTTTCATCAAAGTTTGATCCCTAGAATTTAATGGTCTAAATAAATGAATATAAATCAAAAATTCCAGAATGTTCACTGTTGACTGAAKTATAGATTCTTATCGGCAATCAATTATGAAGAGAGTTTCCATTTTTTACAAAGTATTGAACTCGGTTGGTTTTAATTTTATTTTAGCGCCCTTTTTAAAAATTCCTGTACACGCCCCTGGATGGCTATATTTTGATTTCATTTTAATCACATGAGGTGATAAAAACAGTGGTAGTACGATAGCTCTGAAATGAATTCATGAAGGGCAAAGGGAAAAAGAAAGGCCAAGAACAACTTGYAGAAGAACGGCGACAACGGAACGGGACAATGCGAAATGGAAAGCATTATACGTCTTAGTCGAGCAATACAGTAATAATCTTAATTTGGGCCTATCTTCTGGTCTGCAGGGTTACCTGTGCCATCTTGAAATATATCCGCCCCTTTGCATCGAAGCGAGACAAACGCGTTGAGTGAGGGTCTCAATGGGGTGGTATGCATCACGACTCACGGCTAGAAATTTGGCGATTTCACGACTCACGACTAWKTTTTTYGAATCACGGTTAACTAGATTACTTTTAGAAATTTTTGAATTACGTTTTTCATTCCTTTTTCTTTTTTCGTATGAATAGACTGCGTGACTTATTCGTACGGACATGGATTTTTCTATTTCAAATAAGCCGAAATGCGACTATTTCCACGAAAAAATGATTAATCATGAATTCATAATACACAAAAAAAAATCCAAAAAGTGTTCAACATAGTAGGTATTGAGAACGTAGTAGTGACATTGCTGCAGTCCGTGTCTGACATCGGAGTTTACGAAATTTCATTAAGTGTCGCTTTTCGCGATGATGTATTCTATTCCGGGCTAAATGTGCATGGTAAAATCATGAAGTTTGTAGCGTATTCATATTATTATTTGACCCTAAACAAAATTATAGTATTTTAAAATCGATATCTTATATA